CTCCAGCAGCGACTGGTTCAGGTGGCGCGGCAAGCGCGGACACACCTGCCAGGAGGAGGAGGAGGAGGAGCACCCTGACCCCCGGAGAGAGGGGCCAGGGTGCGCCCCAAGGCGGGCCCCGGGACACGCGCAGGAGGTCGCGGCGGGCGGGCCCGCGAGCACTCCACGAGTAGGGAGGCACCAACTATACACCAACACCGATCCCGGCCAGGATCAACCTGGGCCCTCCTCCCTCCTCCCTCCTCCCTCCTCCCTCCTCCCTCCTCCTCCTCCTCCTCCTCCTCCTCCTCCTCCTCCTCCTCCTCCTCCTCCTCCTCCTCCTCCTCCTCCTCCTCCTCCTCCTCCTCCTCCTCCTCCTCCTCCTCCTCCGCGAGTAGGGAGGCACCAACTATACACCAACACCGATCCCGGCCAGGATCAACCTGGGCCCAGGATCGGTGTATACGCCCTCCTGCCACGGGCAGAATGCATATACACCGATCCTGGGCCTAGGATCGGCCTGGGCTGGATCGGTGTAGGTGTATAGTTGGTGCCCTCCGAACGAGGGCGCAGGGATCGGAGTCGGCCTGAATGAGAACGATGCGCGGTAAGGATTGGACGCCCGAATTATCCGGGGTAGCTCAGGTCCGGGGCAACTCGGGTTCGGGTTCCCGAAAAAGGAACCCGAGTTGGCCCTGACCCGAGTGACCCCTGATGATTCGGGGGCTCTGGACGCCCGAAATATCCGGGGTAACTCGGGTCCGGGGTAACTCGGGCTTGGATTCCCGAAAAACGAACCCGAGTTAGCCCTGACCCGAGTTATCCCTGATGATTCGGGGCTCTGAAAGGATGCAAGGGCCTCGGAGGGGCCATGTTGACATTCTTCGAACGAGGCTGGCCGGCGAGAGTCGCTAAGGGTGGGCCGAAGGGGCAAGGATGCAGGGGTGGCCTTGGAAAGTCGCTCGTCCTTACTGTGCGGGTTGACTGTATCTACTAACGGAGGGCTGGGTGGCACATACAGTGCGAGCGCGGCCGCCAAAAACCCTCGCAAGAAACCCAACCCTGCAAACCCGCGCGCGAAGTGCACCAGAGGGGAAACCTGGAGCGCTCTGAACGCAGCAGCTCCTCCAACGGCCGCGGGAAGCCACCGCGCAGCGCGAGGAGCGAAGAAACCCAGGGTACCCCGACGTAAACCCGACGTGTTAAAACAAGACAGTCCCAGCCAGAAATGTTCTAAGAACGCTTCGCGGAAACCACAAAAAAAGGTTCTCATAACATTATTTGGTGGGCCTGTAGGCGAGCTGGGACGCTACGCCACTACTGGAACATACTTCCACGGCGGCGGATGCCATCCCAAGCGGGCCGGCGGGCCCTCCAGCAGGACGTGCGGACAACAACAAGGGCTCCCAACTTCGCGCTCCGCGCTGCGCGAAGCGCGAAGTGCCAATGACTTCGCGCTCTCGCGCCGCCCCCCCAGAGGGAGAAAAGGAGGACGAGGAGGAGGGGGAGGAGGACCGCGAGGAGGACGAGGAGGAGGAGGGGGAGAAGGAGGGGGAGGAGGAGGAGGGCGAGGAGGGGGAGGAGGAGGAGGAGGAGGAGGAGGAGGAGGAGGAGGAGGAGGAGGAGGAGGAGGAGGAGGACGAGGAGGAGGAGGAGGAAGAGGGGGAGGAGGAGAAAAGGAGGAGGGGGAGAAAAGGAGGACGAGGAGGAGGACGAGGAGGAGGACCCCGAAGCGCGAAGAACTTCGCCCCCTTGTGGGAGCCCCTGGTACAAAGAGGCCCCCCCGAGGGGGCGGGCCGAGGAGCGGGCTCGCGCGAGCACCCCCCCCCCCCCCTCGGGCGCCCCGGGGCAGGAGGAGCCCTCTGGGATGCCGTGCCAGCACAGAGGCCGATGGCGCGTGGCGCCCTGGCAGGAGGCGGAGAAGGCGGGAGGAGGAGGAGGCAGGAGGAAGAGGAGGGCGGAGGAGTGGGGGGTAGGAGGAGGAGTAAGCGGGCAGACGGAGGAGCACAGTAGGCGGAGGAGGAGGAGGAGGAGGAGGAGGAGGAGGAGGAGGAGGAGGAGGAGGAGCCAGGTGCCCCCCGAAGATGCCAGTGCTCCTGCTCGACTTCCTCGTCCTCTACCTCCCTGCGCGCTCCTCGCCCGTCTCCCCCTCCTGCGGCGCCGCATCCCGCACCTTCTCCCCCGCCCCCTCCCGTCGTCCGAGCTCCTCGAAGGAGTCATCACGAGTGCCGCGCCTACCTACCCAGAGCAAATAATCCCTCCTCCTCCCGTTCCTCCTCCTCCTCCTCCTCCTCCTTTTCCTCCTCCTCCTCCTCCTCCCTCCTCCCTCCTCCTCCTCCTCCTCATCCTCCTCCATCATCTCCATCATCATCATCATCATCATCATCATCATCATCATCATCATCATCATCATCATCATCATCATCATCATCATCATCATCATCATCATCATCATCATCATCATCATCATCATCATCATCATCCTCATCCATCCTCATCCTCCTCATCCTCCTCATCATCCTCATCATCCTCATCATCCTCATCATCCTCATCATCCTCATCATCCTCCGCATCCTCAGTATCCTCATCATCCTCATCATCCTCATCATCCTCATCATCCTCGTCATCCTCGTCATCATCCTCATCCTCCTCATCCTCATCCACATCCTCATCCTCATCCATCATCATCATCATCCATCATCGTCATCGCATCATCATCATCATCATCATCATCATCATCATCATCATCATCATCATCATCATCATCATCATCATCATCATCATCATCATCATCAGTCAGCATCAGCATCAGCTTCATCATCATCATCATCATCATCATCATCATCATCATCATCATCATCATCATCATCATCACCATCAGCATCAGCACATCAGCAGCATCAGCATCAGCATCAGCATCAGCATCAGCATCAGCACCAGCACCATCATCATCAGCATCAGCATCAGCATCAGCAGCATCAGCATCAGCATCAGCATCAGCATCAGCATCAGCATCATCATCATCATCATCATCATCATCATCATCATCATCATCATCATCATCATCATCATCATCATCATCATCATCATCATCATCATCATCATCATCATCATCATCATCATCATCATCATCATCATCATCTGACTGCCCTCCACATTCGAACCCTCTTTTCAACCTCTCCTCTTCCTCCACTTCCTCCTCTCCTCCTCCTCCTCCCAATTTCCGCTGGCCGGGGAAAGGATAGGAAGGGGGAAGATAATGTCAAGTTTCTTTGCTCAACGCGAGACGCGAGCAGCGCGCACGCGCCTGCAGAAGCCGCAGAACGGAAAAAGGGATATGACTTCGAGCGCAAGTGAACAATTGCGGAAACTATCGGGGGAACATTGGATGGGCCCCCCTGGGCGCCTTGGGGAACCTCTTGGGAGCTCTTGGCAGCCTCTTGGAGCACTCCCAGGGACTTCGTGGGGGCCTCTTGGAAGCCTCTCGGGGGCTTCTTGGCTTTCTGGGGGCGTTTTGTGGGCTACTGGTGTCGTCGCGAGGCCATCTTGGGGCGTCTTGGTGGCCAGCCCGGGCCCCAATTGGGCCGTTCTGGAAATTATGCTCGCCCGTCTTGGTATGTAGGAAACCGTCTCGGGTCTGTCTAGGCCCGTCTTGAAGCCCGTCTTGGGGCCTGCCTGGGGGGCCTTCTGGGCAGTCTTGGAGCGATCTGAAGAGACCTCTGGGGGCGTCTTGGGCTGTCAGAAGCTAAAACAAGTACTCCAGACTTCGTAATAAAAGGGAGGGGGTCTGGACCCTCCAAGACAAGCCATTTCAGACCCCCCCCCCGTGGGAGAACCCTCCAGAACATCGTCCCCAGACCCCCCCAGGCCCTCCAAGATAGCCTGGAAGAGACCCCCCCGAAATGAGACCCCCCTCCTTTTATTACGAAATCTGGAGTAGGGACGCGGAAATCCGGCACAGATATAAACAACATGTGTGGTTTGGGTATGTTGCAACCCTCCTGGCGCACCTCTTGGACCCCCCTTGGATCTTCTTGGGCTCGAGGCCATCCTGAAACTATATTTCTTGGGGCTCTCGCGGGCCGTCTCGATGACCTCTTGGACCCTTTTGGGGCTCTCTGGGCGGGTAGGGAGGGAAGGAGGAGGATGATGATGAGGAGGAGGAGGAGGAGGAGGAGGAGGAGGAGGAGGACGAGGACGAGGAGGGAGGAGGGAAGCAGTAGGGAGGGAGGATGATCAGGAGGAGGAGGAGGAGGACGGGGGAAGGGGCGTGGGACCAGGGCCCCGGGGGCCTGAGGGGCAACGATAGGGGGGGAGGGGGACTGGCACAGGGGGGACACATCGACCTGGAACCGGCGATCCGTCGCCGATAGATCGGCGATGGGCCCCTGATGGCGAATCCGCGCGCTCCTGGGCAGGTTCGGGCCATCGGGCCCCTTATCATCGGCGATCAGTGGGCGATCGGGAGGTCGATGCGTCCCACCCGGAGCCCATCCCCCCCCATATCGCTGCCCCTGAGGGCCGGGCTCCGCCCACGAAGAAATCTGACGGGCCCCCCACGAAGCCTCGAAACTGGTCGAACAGGCCCCCGAGTGGCCTCCCGCGACATCCGACCGAGCATCTGAGAATGAAGGGGCCCTGGGACACACAAATAAATACACACAAATTAAAAGATTCCCCATATTTTCCCATATTTTCTGGGTTTCTGTTTTCCCCCCCACTTCCCATATTTTCCAATATTTTCAGGGGAATCGACAATTAATTGTGTTTTTTCCCCTCCCGAGAGAAGCCTGCCGCCCACAACTCCGCCGCGGTGGCGGGATGGGCAGAAGACGCCTAGATCTTGTCAGACATGCTTGAGACTATCAGACAATCGATCTCGCTGTCTACATAGAGGTTTCCCCGCCGCCCCCACCTCCTCCTCGTCCACCTGTTCCATATCCTCTGCCCTCCCCGCACGCAGGGTCGGCGGCGCCGGCCGCAAGGTCTTCACAATAAGATCTGGCTCGCCAGCGCGGTGTTCAGATCTCCGTGAGGACCAACATGCACCTAGGGCAACAGTACTTGCCACGATGCTTGGCGAAGTCCAAGTGTTTTTTGCCCGCCTTTCCACTCTGCTTGCAAAGATCCTCGCCCAGCTTGGCCAAAGCACGCTGGCATGCAGCACTTTCACAAATTATGAATTTATGATTGCCGGTCTGGCACTGGTACTCAACAGCCGCTGACGCAAGAAAATCCTTATTGCATTGGCTGCATGTCTTGGTCATTTGGGGTGTCTTCTGAACAGCCTTCTCGTGCTGCTTCCACTTCGTATAGTCCATCACCTCCCACTCCTTCTCGTCCTCCTTCTCCAATTTTTCGTCACCGGTGTCCAGGTCCTCTGGCTCGGGATCGTCTTGCCCCGCCCACGTACAATCCTCGCACACTGCAGGCGGCGGTGGGCCATCCGTGGTGTAGTCGATCCGGCTCTTGCACTGCTCGCACTTCTTACGGCGCCACGTGGAGACGCGAAGCCCCTGAATCGGCCGATCAAGACCCGTGTCGCATCGCTTGCAAAAGTCTGGCTCACGTACACCGTGCAAGGTACACACGAACTCGCGATACGTCACGAGAAATTGGCAGTCTGGAGTGGCACACTGTTTACCACGCCATGATTTGTTGACCTTCAGCGTGCACTTGCGGCAGAATACTTCGCTTGGGATCACGTGAGATGCTTTGTACTGGTCCTTTCGACGGGTGACGTATGAGCCGCACTTGCCCCCACACAACCACTGAAAACAATCCGCATCATCCTCAACACCTTTGCTCTTGGAATACTTCTGCCCGTCACTGCTGACATCAAGCTCATCGCCGAAAGCTGCCTTTCCAGGCTTGTGCAAGAGGTGTTTGAAACGCTTTAGCGTTGAGATCCTATCCCCGTGGGCGAACACCAGCGAGCAATTCCCTACGTTCTCCCTGTACTCAGCAAGGAGCTGGAGTATATCCAGGCGAGTCAAGTTCTTGATGTAAACTTGGCCCACGTAGATCAGCGAGAACCCCACTTCAAGAACTTTCTCACTCGCGGTACGCCGAGGACGCCGAGGACTTCCGCGCCTGCGCAGCTCGAGCATTTCTCCATCGGGCACCTGGCCTAAGGTCCGGAGACGTGCCACCCTGGCCTGCCACGAGTATCCCCCCCCAGACTCCGGTTCCTCCTCGATGACATGGACAAGGACCTCCCCATGTACGTCGATGACCACTGGCTCCCCCGACCCACTCTTAGGCCAGGCCAGCCTCAAGCCCGCAATCCAGTCAGCGTCCTCCGACTCGCTTGTCAAAGCCTCGGCGGCTGTCTTTCGGATCGTATAGGCGCTCGAGGCCAGATTGCCAGGAGCGGTGCGGGCATAGAAGCCGGGCGGGACCTCGTTCTCTCCAGGCAATTGCAGAGGGTTCTCCTTCAGACGCAGGTGCTTGCACGTCTCTCCGCACTTGTGCACCATGAAGAATGCATCCATGCCCTCCGTGCCAAGATTTCCGCGGCCGAACACGTTCTTTGCGCAGTGGATCTGCGGATCAGTGAGGGTGCCCCGAACCTTGGAAACACCGCAGTGGTCAAAGCTGGTCCACAGCTCGATCCTGATCCTGCCCCTGATGGGGACTGGCCAGATCCATCCCATGAAGCTCGCAGCCCCGCCGATCGAAGGTCTAATCGGCCACCCTCATCTCGATCGATCGACAGCATGGCCAGAACAGGGGGCCCGATCGAGCCCCAATCGACGGATCAAGATTTTCTAGAATCCGCCACCGTGCCGTAGGCACTGAATGGAGTGTCCTCAGGTCCCGTGTAACTCGCTGCATTGAATACTGCAACTGCCCTTTAAGAGACCGATGGCCCAGTTGCCCCCGATTTCCTGGGGGTCGCCGCCTGACTCCAGGGGCGCCTCGCGTGACTTTCCCATAGGCCAGAGATCCTCAAGACGCCCGCAGAGGGTCACAAGATGGCCCAAGAGCGCTCCAAAATGGCCCCCCCGAAGGGTTCGCAAACATCAGAATCATGGACTTGGTTGTGAAGTTGTTCCCCACATTACAAACGGGACCCGCAGAAACCTCACCCCCCTCCTTTCACACTCATCATTTTCATCTTCATCCTTATAACCAACACAATAAATTCATTTTCACGTCACGACCATGACCATCATCATCCCCATCATCACCATCGTCATCACCGCCTTTGTTTTCCGATGGTGCTTCTCTCACCGCCTCCATCAAGATCATCACTCACCACCACGCTCAAGCAATCGCTCACATACTCCCGCACCCGCACACACACGCACACACACACGCACACGCACACGCACATGCACACACACACACACACACTCACACACTCACTCACCCACACACACACACACACACACACACACACGCGCGCGCACACACGCACTCATCTTGAGAACGTTTCGAACGGGAGCCTCGTCTCAGTCAATTGCAAAGAAATCTCATGTGGCAGCCCCCTCCTTCTACCGCGCGCACCTCACGTTACTAATCCGAGGCGGTCATCCGCAAACCTGTAAAAACACTTTGTTGTGTGATTATCGAGCCGCCCAAATTCAATTCCCAGTGCTGTGTTCGAATGCCTGGGGACCACTTCGTGCACTTTGCCTTCCCAGAAATCAACTCCAGGGCCTGATTTCGCATGCCCAGAATCAGCTGTAAGTCACTTCGGATTCTTCGTGTGCCCACACTTAAACACGTGGGAGAAGAGGCAGCAGGAGGAGGAGGAAGAGGGGGAGGAGGTGGAGGCAGGAGGAGAAACATATGAATTGAGGAGGAGGAGGAGGAGGAGGAGGAGGAGGAGGAGGAGGAGGAGGCAGGATGAAGAGGCAGGATGAGGAGGAGGCAGGAGGAGGAGACAGAAGGAGGCACGAGGCAGGAGGAGCAGGCATGGGGAGGAGGAGGCAGGAGGATGAGGTAGGAGGAACAACAAGCAGGAGGCAGCAGGAAAAGGATGAGGCAGGAGGAAAAGGAGGAGCCAGGAGGAAAAGGAGAAGCAGGATATTCCGAGGCTGTCGAACATATTATGATGCGGGGTCCTTCCGTCGGAATAATGAAACACTCTGGTGTCCTCGCCTTTTCGGGCTCTGCACGCTCCCAGATGGCACACGACGTTCCCAGGATCGCTCAATGATGCCCCCCCCAGAGGGCCCCTCGACGGTCGAAGAGGGCCCCCAAGATGAGAACTCCACAGAGGGCCCCAAGACCAGCCCCCAAGACGGCCCAAGAGGCCCCACAAAGAGCCCGAAGAGGGGGGAAAGCGAATCTTGAAGAAGCACTGGGATCACTTCCGCCGAAGGTGGCCCCCAAGACCCCGAGCGCGCCACCGATCGGCCCCCGGAGGGCCCCCAAACGCCTCCAAATTGCAGGAGCTGCAGGTCGCCTCGGGCGGGATTCCGCCAGGCGCAGTGCGAGGCTCATATCGGCGGCGAACGAGGGGGGGGAAGTGAGAAGGAGAAGGCCTTCCCAGAAGGTTCGGAAGTTCCTCGGCCTTCTGAGAAAGCGTTTGAGCCGTCCCCGAAGACACAGAAAAACCTCTCGGAAGGCGCGAGGGCTTCTGAGAAGCCCCGCCGCCATATGAGAAAGCCGTCTTCGTTCTCACTTCCCCCAGTCGGTGGCAACTCACGGGAGCCTCCCATACCATCTTTTCGGTTCTTGCGAATCGACGCTAGTCGACGCAAAATCGACGCCAATTCGACGCTACTGGACACGAACCGACGCTAAGTCGGCGCTATCTCATCGACTCACAGACGCTAATGGACGCTAGTCGACGCTAAAGACGCAATGACGAGGGTATACAAAGCTCCCACGATTTGCTTCCGAATTTTCCTTCGCACTTCCCCTCTCGCTCGTCGCCGATCATAGCCGGCGACGGCCCAGGTGGCGCAGGAGCCCCCCCGGGCGGCTGCGGCACAGGAGGCCCCGAGAGGCATCCCGAGAAACCCCGAGGGGCACGCGGCCGGACCTGGGGCAGGAGAGCACCCTTGAAGGGGCCCCAGGACACACAAATCAAAACACACAAATAAAAAGATTCCCCATATTTTCCGATATATTCTGGGTTTCTGTCTTCCCCCCCACTTCCCATATTTTCCCGTATTTTTCTGGGGAGTCTACGATTAATTGTGTCTGTGTGTTTCTTTCCCTCCTGAGAGACCCCGAGGGGCACGCGGCCGGACCTGGGGCAGGAGAGCACCCTTCAAGAACATGAGGCCCCCCGCCGGCCAACATATGTTGTTGTTGCTGCTGCTATCTTCGAGCCCTAAGATCACCTCGAGGATGCCGCTCCCAGGGCGCACAAGAGCCTCCGACAAGCACGAAGAACGTGGGGGTACCCTCCCCGAACCGGCCTCGATCTTACACCTCGGTCCGACTGCACAACACTTGTCTGACCCACGACCCAGGCACGGCGGCGGGTGGCGGGATGGGCCGAAGGCTGTTAGATGCGAGCCCCCTGGATGTCTGTCACCATCATATCTCCGCCAGAATAGTGCCAGGTGAAGTGGCTGAAAGCCTGAGCGAGCTCGGAGTCCTTGCCCACGTAATTGCTGTTGTTCGTCTGCTTGACGTACTTTCCCGGCATGTAGGGCTCGACGCACATCACGCTGCCCTCCTGGCGCGAGCTGGCAGACACCACGCTGAGGAGCTGCGCCTGGACAGTTTTGCGCGCAGCAACAGCCACATGCAACTATGAAGGGGCCCTGGGACACACAAATAAATACACACAAATAACAGGATTCCGTATATTTTCGTATATTTTCTGGGTTTTTGTCTTCCCCCCACTTCCCATATTTTCCCATATTTTCTTGGGAATCGACGATTAATTGTGTCTGTGTGTGTGTGTGTGTGTGTGTGTGTGTGTGTGTGTGTGTGTGTGTGTGTGTGTGTGTGTGTGTGTGTGTGTGTGTGTGTGTGTGTGTGTGTGTGTGTGTGTGTGTGTGTGTGTGTGTGTGTGTGTGTGTGTGTGTGTGTGTGTGTGTGTGTGTGTGTGTGTGTGTGTGTGTGTGTGTGTGTGTGTGTTTTCCCCTCCTGAAACTAGTGGGGGGCGACACAATCGTCATAGGGTACCGAAGCGGCCGACGAGCGCTCCACAAGCGCCCGATATGGCCTCGAGACGGCTGCAGAGGCCCCCCCAAGAAGGCCTCAAGATAGGACGGCCCTGGAGGTCGCCAGTACCGACCCAAGGAAGTCCCGAGAGGGCCCAGGAGGGCCCCAGGACGGCCCACGAAGCCCCCAAGACGGCCCAAGAGGGTTTCAAGAGCTGGCCATCGCTCGGACGTCCATTCCGTGTTTTTTTTCGGTTTCGTGCGTGTTTTTTTCGCCACATGATCAAGGATGTCCCTCGATGGTCCTCGCCGAAGGAAAAATGCACGCATCCGAGCGATGCCAAGAGAGGTGTCCCAGAAGGGGCGCACGGATCAAAAGCAGGCTGGCAGTGGCTGGAGACGTGGAGATCGCAGCGGCCGGAGGGGGCGCGGCACGGCGGGACGTTTGGGAGGCGCGCAGCAGCTCTGGGGCGGGGGGAGGCTCGACGCCCATTCAGGGCAGGTTTTAATACATAGGATGTTTAATACATTGGATGTTTAATACATAATTAATGTATGAATAAATCGATGCATGGACTCATCGTTGTTTTTAATACTAGATCCCTGCATGTTTAATACATGGTCCGCACGCGGAGCATGTATACAAAAATGGCACTGTATGGGGAAGTCCAGAGGGAAGAGAGAGAAGAGGGGAAAGCGGGGTGGGGTGCCCATCGGAGGAGACCCTCTTGCACCCAGCCGGGGGTTCCATGGGGCGGAGGAGGAGGAGGAGGAGGAGGAGGAGGAGGAGGAGGAGGAGGAGGAGGAGGAGGAGGAGGGGGGTGCGCAGCAGCTGGGTCTACGTTAGGGCCAATCCTCGTGGCACTCTTTCCCCCGCGTGGGGGGGGCGCCTTGCGGTCACAACGAGATGGACGGCATCTCCCACGAACTGCACCTTTGCCAGCTCAAGGAGATGATGCCCGACATCGATATGCTGAACCTACTGGGTAGTGTGAAGGGGCCCCAGGACACACAAATAAATACACACAAATAAAAAGATTCCCCATATTTTCCAATATTTTCTGGGTTTTTGTCTTCCCCCCCACTTCCCATATTTTCCTGTATTTTTCTGGGGAATCGACGATTAATTGTGTCTGTGTGTTTCTTTCCCTCCTGATAGTGGTTGACCCTCGGATGTGATATCAGCCATGGCGGCTGCGAAGAGCCCACGAGAGGTTGCTTGTAATCGTGAACAGTATCACGTCAACACCTACCTGGATACTCTGTCTTGGTTGACTGATTGGAATGATGATGCTGCTGATGATGATGGTGATGCTGATAGTGATGATGCTGATGCTGATGATGCTGATGATGGTGATGCTGATGATGATGATGATGATGCTGCTTATGCTGCTGCTGCTGCTGCTGATGATGATGATGATGATGATGATGAGTGGATATGTTTCCCCTCTTCGGGGGGAGGGGTTCGGGAAGGGCGAGCCGGGGAGGCCGGGTGGGCGCTCCAGCTCGGTCCAGGCCCACTGGGGCTCCAGTTTACCGCCCCAGCGAACGGACAAGAGGTGTGCGAAGATGATCTCTGGTAATAGGTTTTGAATATTTCTAATTCGCGCGCGCGTGGCGGCCCCTGCGTAAAGCCTCGAAAGAGTAAAATGCAATGGATTCGCTTCCGGCGCACTTTGTGTTGCCGGCGTTGTTGCAAGGAAGCCCATTCCGAGCAAGCCAGCTCGCGACAAATTGACGACCATCGCAAATGCAAACGAACATCACCGATGAAGTGCACGGAAATCGCATGTCAACGAAAATCGGACGTCGAGGACAATCGATTAAAAAGTCAACATTATCGACCCACGAACTCGGAAAGGGATGGAAATGTGAAGCAGGGGAAAGCTGCAAGATACCACACTTGGGCAACGGGCAATTACACATCCCCTCCGCGCGAGTATTTCTACGTGCAAAGAGCCCGACGACCTCATGTTAGAGATCCGCCTGAGCGACCAGGACACGTGAAACCAAGCGTTTTGCTCGTTACATTTTCAACAAATCCTCATGTTAGGGATCCGCCGTCCTTGGCGCCAGAATCCTGACCGAAGTGATTTGGATCTAAGC